CGCGGACGTGCCAAAGAACAGCTTATATCCAATACACGCAACGAGACAATACACGCTGGCGTGAGAACGACGCGCCATATTTTTCTAGCAGACAGGAAACTCCGACGCGGAAGTTTTATTCCGCAGAACGAAATTCTCTCCAAGAATGTCAAAATTCATTTTCTCAGACCTAGAGTATCGGAGTACCTCTTTAAAAAAAAAAAAATGTGCAATACGTAACGACAATGTTTGTACGAGTAAGAATTCGAGAGGTACAGAAACAGGTTTTTTAAAAGTGTTGGAATCCTCTCTAAAACTATGAATTTACACTTGAACAAAAAATGATACTTAGTAACCGACGCGAGAAGGACTTAGGAATCTGCATAACTTAGGTTAAACTTTTACCTCGCCACGTTCTTTAAGCGACTTTCATTTATCCGATAAAGTGGTTTTTGCCATACTATACCGTGAAGTAGCTTCTGTAATGGTAATTTCTTCAACGAGTACTTTATCAAGAGCAATTTTCAAGTTGTCGGCCTGTAGCATCTCTTCCGAGCTTGCATTCTGTTTTTACTATTAACGCTTTTGTGTAACAACGACCGAGATAAAAGACTAATTGCAATTTATAAAAATTAAATAGGCTCTTTGGAGACACTGTCTTTCACCCGATAGCTTGCACCATACTTTCCTTTTCTCAACACAATCATTAATATAAATATGTAAATATACACGTTCGTATTCTCTATTCTTCTGCCCGTCTTCTCTTCTCTGTTTTTTAATGTATATCTATTTTATTGCATTGTTATTGTATCCTACGTTAGGTTAGCAACATTACAAACATTCTTCCCAACGAAAATAGAAACCCCAAGGCAAAGAGCTATAACGAATGCCTGTGGCCCTAACAATGCCTGATCACGATGTGAGAAAACGGCGATAAGTATTTTAATTCGATGATTAATCGAGACAGAAAACAAGTGTCTGGCACGGTTGGTCGATCGATATTCATATTTAATCGATCTAGATTGTTAAATATCTGAAATATCATAAATTGGAGACCTGATTCGTGAAAAATGGTACACTAAAATTAAAAATTCTTTAAAATTTTTACATATATGCGCGAAAAGTTTAAAACGAACGAGAAGATATTTCAGATGGAACGTTTTTAATGATTCACCCCAGCGTATTGCACGATTGCCTCGCTTCGCGATGTTTATTCTGGAGAACGGTTCTCTATTCGATTAATCACGCGCCTCGAAATAATCGAAGACGCGATATTAACGCCGTTTCGACGCGCAATAGGGAAACAAGAAATCGCGAACGAAGTGGGCCGAGACCCATTTTGGCGTGCGAGGATCGGGAGCAGAATTCTCGAAAACCTCGACGAATTTGTTTCGCATACCAGCCCCGTGAATCAGACAACGCGAATTGCGAGTTCGACTTTATTTGCGTAACGATATTTCCGGTCGGGTTTCGGCCGTGAACGGCCCCGAACGGAACAGTTCTCTTCGACCGCCTCTGCGTTGCGCGCCACTTTCCGCCATCTTGGCGCGTCGATCGTTGCGCGAACGTCTAGTCCGAGCCTTAAATTAACCAGAACTGCTGAACTTGCCCTTCTTGGCTATCCATCTTTCTACAACGATACTCCATTCTAATTTTCTAACAGCATAAACATTAGATTTCTCGACAAATTAACATTTCCATCCACACTGTTCGAAAAGATACTTTTATACGGAGATCTATCTAGCTTTTATATATTTTGTTATTATCATGACTTCTCTGGCCTAATTTGTTAATTTCTTCCGGGCCAGCAACAATAAAAATAGTGCTCATAATACGAAAGCTTTTTCACAGGAATGTCAGCACTGACGCGGCTAGATTATTCGCTGGTTACCGAATCGAAAGGTAACCTTTTGCCCCCGCGATTCTTCTCGGTCGCCAAAAGCGAACGTTTTCTCGGAGGGCGAGGCTCGCCTAAAAATACGTATCAATACCTGTCGTTCGACGTCGCGTACGCGAAAAAGCGAAACGATTCCGAAATAAAGCTAACCGGGATCCGGCGCGACGACAAGCTGTCATAAATCAGCGAGCTGCGGATCGACAAGGCTCTGGCATCGTCTCCGGTGCACAACCGTGAGCGTCGCGACGCGGTGCTCTCCGATGCTATTTCAAAGTGAAAATAGTGGGGCGTCTCTCTATTTCGGTCGAACGAGCCAGGGCCGTTCAGTCTGCGGCCTGGCTTCCTCACCAGGAGGCCGCGGGTTCGAATTTTCCATTTTCACCGTCGCGCTCCAGGAAAACGGAGGAGGACCGTGCTCGAGGAGAATCCGCGCCGTCGATATGTTCAGGACGAAGAGTCTGTGGCGGGTGGAACGGTACTGTATGGTGCTTCGATCGAGATAAAGGGTGCGCCGATCGATCGTGAACGTTAAAGACTTTGGAAGACGAGGGTTCCCCCGGGGGTTAAGATGTTCTGGTCGGAGCCCGACGAGGAGGAGGAGGCGCTACTATGCAGCCCTGCCCTCATGGCCAGGAGGGCCTCGGAGTCCTGGATCGTCGCGCCTCCCGTGGAGGTACGAACAGCGTCCTAAACAGTCCGAACACCTAGGCAAACCCTTTCGATCTAGCATCTCGACGCGTTCGTAGCACCACGCGTGGGTCTGGAGTTTTCGCTCTAGCCAACATATCGGTGCAGGAAGAACATGGCGCCTATTTCCAGTCACGGAGACAGCGCACGGCTCGGGAATCGTAAAGAATCCAGGGTCTCTGGATCTCGTGTTTTGACAGCCGACGCGGGAGACGCTCTCGCGAGCCAACGTCAGAGTTCGAAACGCTTTCGGGATGCATCAGCTGTTCCCAGATATCGCGCGAATCACGTCGAACGACAAGAAACGACTCTCCGCGGCGGATTAACGGGAAGCGAATCGCTCGATAAGCTCGGTATCACGAAACGGGGAGGAACAGCGAGAATTAAAGCCTGGCTTTTCTTCGTGGATATTGCCGGGGCGACGTTATCGGCAGAATTTACAATGGTTTTAGAGAAATAGCCTCGAAACCGGGAATAGAGTCTCGTTGACCCGTGGCCGGTGATACGCAATTGAAGCAAGACGAGCACCGCGATCGGGACTAATTAATGGCGTCGGGGATTATCGTCGAAGGGTACGGAGGGGTCGATCTAATTTTATGCCTAGTAAAACGCGGGAAAAGTTTTCGATAAGAGATAAGGGGAAGAGGATAACCTCGCTTTTCTTGCCAACTTTTATCGCGAACAGTTAGACCGTACTCCGGGAACCTTTTCTCTCAGCTTTCTGCCAACTATGGCTATCTGGTTGGTTAGATCATCGCGTTTGTGCATACAAATTACTGATAGGAGATACGGAGGCGAGATAACTACCACGAGCAAAGCAATTTTTCTTGAATTTTTCTTTTTCGGACTTATGATAATTCTTGATATTTATTTCGTCACGCGTCGTGCGTATACAAATTTCTGACAGGAGATACTGGAGAGAGATAACCTCATTTTACTTAGTAAATTTTATTAGAAGCATTCGATCTAAACTTTCTTCTCTAGCATTCGATTCCGTGATATTCGAAGTAAATATTACCTTTTAGAAACATCTATTGATCTGATCTGTTACTATAAAAATAGTCGATCAAATACTCGGAGGATCGAATAACCTCGATATTCTAGCAATTTTAATTGGGAATATTGCTTCCGAACTTCGTTTTAATTCTGACTATCGCTTCGATCGGACGATGTTATCTTACTTAAGAATAAAAATAACTAATCAGAGATACGGCGGAACACGTAACTCGTTTCAACAATTTTGATTTAGAGCATTTTAAGTAAATGTTGTTTTTCAGCTCTGTGATACTTTGAAACATCAGTCTGACGAGATGATGTCATTTTACTCGCGAATAAAAACAACTGATCAAAGATCGGAGTACGGGACATATTTTTTCTGAATTCTACTACTTTGGGCAGACGAGGTTACATTTTTTATTTCTCAGAATTACACTTTTCATATCTTGCGTACTAGTTTCACGACAGCTTTGTCTATTCGATCAAACGATAATTGATAGACTAAGAGTATCGAAAGATCCTAAGGGTCACTCGAATGAAGTACGATTTAAATATCGTCGACACGTGGGTTTCATAATCAATTTCTTATCGCGAGCATTTCCCAAAAGACGAAGGAAAAACCAGTGTCGAAGGTCAACGTATCCGGACCAGAATTCCTGGCCTTTGCATCATTATTACGTATGATTACGGGCGAGGTTGCACGTTTTGGAACGCGTCCAAGGATTCCTTGTCTTTCTCCCTTCGTCGACCCGTTTTCTGTGCTCCTTCAAAATGTGGAACTAATGAACACGTAAACGTCCAAGAGCTTGATGCCGCGCCAAACAAATTGACGCTGTTTTTCACGCGAAAGTACAACCCCAAAGTCATTGTAACTACCAAACCATAACTTTGACCGCCACTATACTCGCCGATGACTAATTCGTTCAAAGTAAATATAACATTCAAGTCACTCTGGAATTCTCAATCATAAAAGCATAACAGAACTCAACAAACTTTACAAATTTTTCAACAAACCCATCTTTAACAAATTTTCATTTGAACTATAGTATACTAAATACACGAACACCAAAGTTGGGCACTTCGGTTAGCAAATTTTCGATCTACTCGTAGATTAGCTTCTGTCTTCGAATGAAACGTGAACGTGGAATCGTTGGTTTGCAAATAAATCTTAAATTTTAATTCGCTGATAGCTTTTACCCAGAGTACTATTCAACTTGGCGCGCCTCGTCGAGGATCATCGATCGCGTAATCGATTACGCGTTGCGGTGATACGAACTGTTGGGTTTCTGGAAAGGTAGGCGTCGTCCCTTGTGATCCCTTTGCCGATCCGACAGGCGTCCCCGTGTACACGTGCACCCTTTAGAAAATAAGGCATTACGCGATCGATCGTGTCCGAGGGCTGCCTCTCTCTCTTTGTTTCTCGTTTCCTTTCTTCGTGCAGGCGATGCCGGCGGCGGCGGCAGCGATTTCCCTTCAACGAAAGAAGTCACTGCCGGATGTGGCGCAGCCCATTCAGCTGACAGCGACGTCGCCGCTATCCAGGGAGGAAGTCAGCGTCCTGAGCAGCATGAGGAGAGAGGAGATCCGCAGGCAGATCGACGAGAGCGAGAGGCTCAGAGCCAATCCTCTACTGTACTTGGTCAGCCCTCAGGTTAAAGTAAGTATAGAAATACCTTTAGGCGAGCAGGGACGAACAAACTCACTATTTATTTAATTACTTCGCGCCTACTCAAGCAAAAGACAAGGTTCAATGCTGAAACTGTTTTTACCCTTTACTCCTCCATTTTCTAGAAAATGATAGATCTTCTGCATTGCAATCTATGCATAGAAATTTTACAAGAACGGATCAATTTTATACAAAACAAAGGAGAAGGTTCAACGCTGAACCTGTTTTTACATTTTACTCCTTGATTTTATTGAAAATGATAGATCTTCTTCGTTACAATGTACGACTATACCGAAGGCTGTTAAGTGGAGTGTCGTTCGATAATATTGTGCTAAACTATTCGTGTCATAAACGTAATATGAATGTCAAAGCTTTAATTCAAGCGTCACCGATGTGTCGCCCTCCTTCGCGCCGAATTTATCTGATCGTCGCTGTACGTATTTCCGGTACGTAATGAGCCGCAAAACACAACGTCCGTGATCCTAAATTCTATCATTTAATACGACGTTTACGTACAATGTTTATCGTATTGCAAAACGTAATCAGTTTTTCGAACTTAGATGAATTTGTGTTATATTGGGCTTTCTAAAACATTTTAGTCGTAGTATTTTCCCTTAAATTCAAAATACTACATGATAATAATTAAGAAAATACTTGATCTTGTAATAAGTAAATAAAAAAATGCATTATTGCCACAGTTAAACATATTATTGAATAGGAAGATCTTTCAATTAAGTACTTGGTTAAGACATTTCGTATTTCGAAGCTTAGAAGAAATAAATTCCTGAGAGGGGAAACTACGTTTCAGCGATCTCGTTGGAATATTAAAAAACAGTTCACGGGCGTTTGGATGTGACGATATCGAGAAATTGCGATTGTGATATTGCGTAGCAATACTCTCGAGTGCCACGACCTTGGTAAAAAAAAGGAAGAGGGGAGAGACAACCTCACGATCGAATTGACGACGCAAAACCGCTGGCTTCTTATCGGATGATTGCATGAGTAGGTCGCGCGATTACCGATACGTGATTACATTTAATCGAATCAGCCGTTTTGAATATCCGGTCTGCGTCGATCGCTCGTCAAATCATAAACACCTCATTGTAGCGCTAAGATCGCAACAAAAATTATTACGAAAGTTTCGAGATGACGAACCGATAAAAATATTCCTCGAGTCGATAAGACATACAACGTTACGATCTATGAATGGAGGTTATTAGTTCCACTTATCCTGGCAACGCCAAAAGACTCTTTTCATGGTTGATTGATTCTTGAATTATGCACACCGCGACTGCACCTGTTGGACATTTGTCAATGTCACTTCTGACAAGCACGTATCTTCAAAACGACGTGTTTTCTGTTCGAATAAGCATAAATTTGTAGATCGTTAGCAGTTCCGGGATTTTTCCAATCGAACGTTTAGTTCTTGTCCAACAGGAACAGATATCTTTCTCATCGATAGAGGATACAATAAATAATCCGGATAGAGTCCGTACCGGTTTGGTTAAATAATAAAATGCTCGGATAATTGGCGCTGTAAGAGCGAAATAATTGCTTTTACATCGACCATCACGGAGAGAGGAAACGCGTAATTGACTCGACCGAAACTTTGCAGGACTGGTTCTCCCGGCAGAAGCTCGTGATGCTGGTGCTCTTCATCAACATATCCCTAGCCCTGATGTTCTTCAAGCTGCTGACGTAGCAGCCAGCCGACGATCGGGTTCACGGACTCGTGGTGGACGTGACCTGAGGCCCCTGGAGCGTCACGACGCCCCAGAGGCCGTCACCGAAAACCAAAACTCAAGGAGCAATGAACCAGAGGGCGCGAGCGTGCCCTCGACGCAAAATCACGAGGACAAAACCGCTGAAAACGGCTTTCGAGCGATCTTACTCGGTCCCACGTAAGATTTTACGCGCAAGGAACTGTTGGTAAGGACCTCGAGGATTCGCGTGGGACAAGGACGATCGGGACGTGGAATTTCTGAGGAGAGAATCTTTTTGAAGTCGAAGCAAATGATCGACGTATAACGAAACGTCGCCAGGTCCCTGGGTGGCCCAGGACACCTCGCGGACGACAAAGGGAGGAAGAGCAGCTCGTTTTTGTCTGAAACGGGGCACTCGCGACACCGACGTGCCCCGGCGCCTGTATCATACCTATTTTTACACCGAGTATTTTAATATAATAATATTTGTAAGGGCTGGCCGACGCCACGCTCTGAACACGGTGCGCACACACGAATACTCTCTACACTTTTTCCTTTTTTTTCTCGACGATCGGCTCGAGCGCGGACGACCAGGACTTTTATACGCAAATAGAGCAGCTAGAGTAGCGCGGGTCATTTATTCTCGAGACATATTACCCCGAGAGGGAACGACGAACGATGGTGATTTTCAAACGTTTTTTGCACACCCGTTATCGAGGATTAGTGCACGGGGGTTAGGATTAAGATCGACTCGACGCTTTAAAATAAACTCGCAGGCTCGATTTACGGGGGCTACTAAATGCTTCGATTCCTGCTACCCCTTCTACTCGACGAGCATTTAGCTATTGCGCGCCATGGATGCATCGCGGATGCGCGAAACCGATGCGCAGGCTCGCGGATAAGTTTTAAATAGGTTATCGAATCAACGATTAAACCATTATCGACTGCAACTGTGAGACATCGATACTCTGTCAATTCGAGCCGCGTAAAAACTTTAATCGGTTTTCGATTCCAGGATTCGACTATTATTTAGTAAATATATTCCATTGCTTTTAGAAAATAAATAATTATACAACGGGGGTTCGAAAACTTTCGAAATGTAACGCATAAATAAATCTGAAATCTTGTTTTTTAATCATGGACCGTTTCAAAAAGATTAAAAATGATATTGTGTGCCATAGAAATGTTTAAATCACCCTTTGTGCGTTGTAATATAATAATAGTGACCACGTTGACAAAGCATTATTATCTCACAGCAATTTATCGTACGTAGGTTAGGTGTATTGGAAGCATAGAGTTGTGCAGTCGAGCGCATAATGGTTCTGCGCATCTTTATCGCGCAGCTATCAAACGGTTTAAGCGCGCGAAAGCACACGCATGCGTAGAAGAAGAAGGGGTGTGCGTGAAGTTGGTCGTTTACCCTTCAGCTGGCAAGAATCCGTGCCTCAGAATATACGCTGTTTCTCGGACAACTGATCGAATTTCCACGCGATATCCGATACGGAGTTATTTCCATCACCGGTTTATTTATCGAATTCTGTTCATCGTTAAAAATTACGTACATTTTCAATGAGATTATTATTACGGGACTAACAAGGTTTTTCCCTTTTTGAAATGAGACTAAACACGGTCTCGATCGGACTATTTTTAGTTATACTTGTAGCTTTTGTTTCTTCTTTTAGTTTATCAGTTATTCATGTTCGCTTACACAAATATATCTATACACATATATCTTCCTTCATTATTTTTCTTTTGTCCGTTTGTTTGCTTCCATCGATGCTTTCTACTTTTAGACGCGTCAAAAAATATACGTTATTCGATAAGAATTACTGATAAAAGCATAATAAATACCGTGAATGTTTTGGCCAATGTTTTTTTTTGAAGAAGATCTGCACAAATGTTTCGCAAATACCGAAGTCGTTTTTGCAGCTATATTTATCGACTATTTCGTTTTAATATTTTATTTCTATCCTACAGAATTTTTTCACGCAATAATTTTACTTATCCACGCAAGACTCTTTTTCTTCCTGTAATTTCGTAAGAATTTTTCTAACCGCCATTATATTTTAACTTTTAGATTAACTGTGAAATAGAATCTTAATTTGTAAGATATTTACAACATTGTACATAAGAGAAAAATGCTTGAAAAGCTATAAGAGTCATAGTGATTACGATTTTGGTAGTCACGGTATGTTATATTATTTGTTATTTTGATTCTCTCGCGAACTCCTTAATTGTTACCATCAGTAAGTTTTCCATTTACGCTACTGAAGTAGTATTTGGTGTATATATATTTTGTACGTCTTCCACTCGTGTCGATTCTCAATTATATTTTCCTATATTCATTTTTGTACCATTTAGTTTTTATATTATTATTTTTTTAACCAAGGACTAACACCCTTTAGCCAAAACGCCCAGAGTATTTATTACTGTTATCGGAAAAGTTCGCTTATATAATCGAAAAATTTATCGAAGATAAAAATTTCCAATTACTCAGGATTAAAAATAATTCTTGCAAAATCGTGTTTGAACTCATTTCTGTCGGTAGAATCTTGTAAATCGATTAATAATGCATCCACGAATACATGTGCAACTAACCCTTGTCCATATTAAATCAAAGGACTACTTAAAAGACAATAATTTTTATGTTATAGTTTTTGTTAATTTGTAATAAGAAACCACGCAATGGTGATTTTATAGAATGAATATTATTAGAAAATAATGTATTGCTCCGGTCGTCAAAGTAGCTAAGCTCGTCTCTGAAAGACAGTTCAGTATAGCGATCAGTTATCCGTGCAACAGCGCATTGACCCAGAAGAAGCATCGAGTTTCGAGTTTCTAAGCAATTGTTGCGATTTTTACGAGTCCGAGGGACGGTCACCTGTTGTACAATTAACGATTACGATGTATTCATGTGTTATCGCCGTGTAATCGTATGGGTGTCGCACGGATATCGGCACGTAAATGTTACTACGCGATTTCCATTGGAAAAGCTTCGCTCGCGAGGCATTTTTTTCGCGCAGTCGCGCCTTCCACGCGAACTATGTACATAGACACTTTTTCCCGACTTTTTATATTACACGTAGAGTCTCCATCGATCGAGACGTTTAAACCATACATGCAGAAAACATTGGCTTCGCCAAATTATCGGAGATAAGCTCCGTTTGTCTCCGATCGCGGTGTATTTGTACGCGTTTTTTCAGAATGGAAGAAAGAATATCGTAAAATAAATACACGTCGCTCCAGTTATCGCGAACCGTGAGAATCAGAATTTATTTACGATCGAGGAACTCGACACGATAACGAATCTCGTAATCGAGAGATCTTTGTATTTCGTCGACAAACATCCGAGAGGATTTCACGAGCGGTACCGATGTGTCCTGGTACGAACGTTTCAACTTTTTACAAAAAAAAAAAGAAAAAAGAAAAATGAAAAAAAATTGGAAACTTTCGACCGTTTCCCTCGGACGTTCTTACGGGAGAGAATAGAAAATAAAAATTGTCTTTTGGGAGGTCTCGATTACACGCAGTTCGAAATTCTGGCGCTCGAGCGATCGCATTTTTCTAGCCTCAGGCGTAGCTTGTATACCTAGGTGAATTTGTAAATAAAAATGAAAGAGCGTGTATAGGGTCGTTGCGACCGCCGCAGTCTTAATCGTCCGGAATCCGTTTCGCGAAATTCGCGCGACTCGGGATTACCGGACCGCGGAGCCGTTTCGAAACTATTTTTCCAAGGAAGAGAAGACACGCTATTTTCATCCTGAGCTGACAGATATTTTCCTCTTTGTACCTACGCACACTGACACTGTCGCGTACCGTCTCGAGTACGCGTGAAAGCGAACGCGTCGTACGGTAGAACCTCGATTAATGCACGGAAGCGTGGTCCTCGATGTTGCGTGGCGTCGACGAGTGTAGGGAATGATCACTGATCAACTTGTTACGTTGGAAACGCTACAAACTATGCGCAGTGGCTGTGTGGAGGTTACTTTTCGATGATTCTCAGAGTTTTCGACGATTTTCAGAGCCCCGATTCCCCGCAATAAACGAGGTTTTATCGTATTTACTTAACGGGCGGCTAGTTAGGATGAAAATAGGGAAACGCGCGCGGTGATCTTTGCTAGAATCGCGCCACGCGTTGCCTTCTGCTTCGACCGTGGAAGGAAGAACGGTCCTTAGGAAATTAATTCAGAAATTACGAAATTGTGGCGCGGAGAATGAAACCCGATTCGATGCGTAGAAGCCGAAGGCTGTTACGGTAGAAGAGAATCAAAGGCTACGGATGCGTATCAGCGAACGAAATAATGAAATTTCTATGAATTCGGAACGTATCGGGGGTGTTTTTTTTTGTTACGGAAGATCGTTCCGTACGAACAATCCGAGGCTACCGTATTTTCCGACGGCTGTCGTTGAAACATGTATTGTATATATATTGCAACTATATACGTATATATGAATCGATTAATTATTATCACGGGGAGCAGCTCTAAAATTTGATAAAATCGCGAGTGAAACAGCGTGTGAGAAGGATGATCGAAATATTTCTCGACGAGGGAAAGAATATGAGAAAGGAACGGACATTGTGGGAGATCAAAACTCAATCTACGCGCGTTTAATCATTACTCATTTGCGTCACAAAAGCCATATCACGAATCAAAGGGGGAAAATTTCTAACATGCGTATAGAAATTAAGTATATCGATCGAACGAAACGAACGGGAAAACGATTGGTTACGATATTTGATTGCTATATCACGAAAAAGTCTATGAATCAATCATATGTATATTTTAATTGTTATCTATTGACTATTATCACAATTAGCATATCTCGTTATTACTGTATATTATTATTACTATTATGATTATGATTATTATTATTGCCATCGCTATTATTACTTATTATCATTAATTATTATTATTATTATTACTATTATTACTACTGTTATTATTATTATTATTATTATTACCATCATGATCACCATTCGACGGTTACACGAACGCGAAACGAGCCACGGGCGTGAAAGGAATTTTAGTACCTCACGAAACATGTGCAAAACAAAATGAAGCAACTCAAGGGCCCACTGTCATTGTTGATTTGCGAGAAAGCAGTGATTCAATAAACTTGTATCATAACTGGCAACCATTCGTCTGTTTACTCGATTCGCATTAACCACACCTGGTTCTTTGCAGGTAAGAATGGATTCGAGCAGCTTCGAACGAAGCGTTTTTGGGATTAGTGTTGTTTAAAACTGTTCTCGACGAAGATCGTCGCATCGTCGTCGCAACAAGAAATGGAAGAATGGAAAAAAGAACGAGTGAAAAGCGACGACATCGAACGAGGCCAACAACTTTCGTGCCTCGGATGACAAAGGTTGATAGCATTAATTGTAACGCGACGTAAGAAACGTCGTTTCATGGTCCCTTGCCTCGTTTACGCCGGTTTTTCTGGCCTCGCGCTCGTGATCGCTTTCCGGCCGCAAAGTACCGCGAAACTCGCCGATAATTAAGTCGCAATTACATCAACCGTGGATCGCGCTCGCCGTCAAATAAATTCCACGCCACTGAGACGCGTGACATTACTCGATAAAATTCGCCTAATCGTCCTATCGTTCGTTTTCGTTGCTCGCTTCTGGTCGAACAATAATTATCGGGTAACTTTCTATCGGACTGGCCAGATGGCAGAACCTGATATGTCAGATTTCTTTGATTTCATGGTAGAGCGATTTTAAAGTTCGTTCAGCCGTGAAAAATCATAATGTTTTATAAAATCTGTCTTATTTCAGTCAATTCCGCGTCGTTTCTTGGGTAAACTCAATTTTATGGATTTTTCTAAGGGTTGCGTGACGTATCTCGTTCTACCATCTTCCTCTTTCATGAATATCTAAATATTCATAGATGATAATGACGGCTCCTCAAATTATTCATTGTTTAGTTAAAAATCAAAATATTGACCAAACAATTTTTTAAACGGTGAAATAACTGTTAAAACCCAGCCTGGGCTATTTTGGATCCATCATTATTAACCCTCTCAACATTTCGTATTATCGAGGAAAGATATTGAAATGACACCTAGTACTATTGCAAGAACATTTTCTTTTGGTTTCTTTTTCCATTCTAATTCGAGTCTATATTTGCATATTATGAAGCTCGTAATATCTAGAAACGTCAAGGGTTACTCTGACCATGTACGCTACTGTTTTCTAGTGCGCATGGCAGAAAAACACGACAAACCTTCCGCTGCTTCGATAAGGAAACCTTCTACCCGGAAGACCCCCTACCCTCTCGTCGGTGCTCCCTCCACGCAGAAATCCTGTGGCGAGGGTGCAGGGATGCCAGCTTTTCACGCGAAACTAGACGCAATACGCTTGGCAACTTTGGAGTTTTTCCCGCCTTGGTGGTCTTTTACGACCGCGATGAGACTGTCGAAATCGCTGCTTCCGTAGTCTCGTTTTTACGACCTATTACAATTGCTACAGGATGGGAAACTCGTATCTACGCGACTCGTATCTATACATATTTTAACTTGATCGATCCGCTACAGCGTGAAATATTCCGCTGGCGATGCTCGTCTCCAAAAAATGCGACTTGTCTCACGATAACAGTGATCCTGATCGCTATTCCACGACAATGGGTCGTCGACAAATTCGTGTTTGCATTATGCATGAGTTTAAATCCAATAATAATATCTCGGTTGCAGCTTGAAATATTAATGAATCTGATCAAGAGACACAACTCCCAAAAATTCGACTCGTCGACTCTTTCGATACAAAGGATGGCCTTTAAAATATTTCTTAGCGTCTAAAATAGTGCATCCACGGTTCGCAACATGGTAGCAAAGTTCAAATTGGCTCGTGGGCCAAAATGAATTTGACATGTCTGATATATGAGGAGGAAGTGCTGCAAAGTCTGACCCCGCCCACTATGTCGACCTCTCAATTGGTTTTGTTAAGAAACTTCTGTATCTGGTATATTTATCGTGCAAACAAAATTTTATTGTATATTTTCCATTCATTCGCGGACCTGGTTGTATGGAGTTATACCACTCGTCTGTTATTTTATTTACAGCTGTGCAAAGTAAATAACTTTTGCATAATGGGCGTCTAAGACGAAGGCGAAACTATGTCTATTGATAGGGAGTGCAGAAATAGACAGAGGCTGCTGCAAATGATTTTTGGAAGGTTTGTGTACGACAGGCATTCTAGTAAGGTTACTAGTTAGGAAGTTTGATGTAAAGTATACATTCAAATGCATGGGAACCAATTTTTAGTAATGAGGCAGATTCGATCTATAACGAAGACTCTATTTTTCTAACAGCTTTCTTTCACTGTTTGGGGCACACGTATCCCCGAAGCATCGAAAGAGTTATTTAAGGGTAGCCAAAGATTATAGCGTTATTAATATTCGCAAATGAGAATTTGTCGAAGAATAAACATCGTCCAGAGAAGTTTCATATAAAGTATACAATGAAATGCATGGAAAGTAATTTTTAGTGACCAGTCAATTGAGATTTAATAAGCTTTCTTTCATTGTTTGGGACACAAGTATCGAGGGGTAGCGAAACACAATGGCGGAAGCGCGTCGGTGGCCTCGAGCGACCAAAGCATCGAGTCATGTTTCGCTCGGCTATTCCAGACGTAGAAAAATAACCATAGGAGTAACCATAGTTTATCGAGATCGCCGATTGCCAGCGAATTACACGCTCGATAAGCTGGCACGAGTCGCGACAAAAAAAATTCTAATTTTAACCGATGAATAATTCCGCGACCCGGACAGGTGGTTGATTCGTCATTGGTGCAATGACTGTGACGAATTAAGCGATGCACCGACCCCGGGATCGTACGTCGCGATAACTTTCCTTTACGGTGCATTTCCTCGTACGTGACCGCGTCGGTGCATAAAGCTTTTGCGCGGTTTGTTTCGCGTCGAGCGGTGTGCACACGTTTCGCTCTCTGCGGTCGAGTCGCGCGGGGGCCAAAAAATATTCCGTATGTCCGGATATAGAACGACACTGTCGCTGGCTTTTCCGACCAGCTAGATAAAGCTATTGCGCAAAGATTATTGCACGAGCGTGGCGTTCGTTATCCGAGTCACGTGGCCGTTTACCAGACACGCGGATTTCGAGAAAGTAAATATTTTGATCCCCACTACGCGATACGATTTCTAGCGCGATAACCGACACTAAAGGTACTAGAACGTTACCAATTCACGTACGCGAGGAAATCGTCCGATTCCACTCGATACGAAAGTCACAACGCGCCCGTTGGCTCTTCGTGCGATTTCTCGTATACGACTTGGCGTACTGCCGTCCATTTTATTCAGCCAACAGCTGGGAACATTCTCTTTTCGATTTTATCAGTAATTTCGTTAATTATTCTACTAACTTTAAACGATAAGAATTTAATTTTTCTTTAGTTTTTGAATAAATTTATAATAAT